ACCCCCCTGTTTTTAACATTTTTTTTTTTAATTTTGAGCTCTAGTTTCAGATTTTTGAACATAGCGCCCTTTGATACCTTGCGCAAAAGATGCGCCTGTTTCTCTTCTACAAGACCTATATAGTCATATCCCGTGACAACCCTCATTATTTTTCTCTAGAAGCCATGAAATAGGACAACCCCCGGTTTTTAACAATTTTTTTTTTAATTTTGAGCTCTAGTTTCAGATTTTTGAACATAGCGCCCTTCGATACCTTGCGCAAAAGATGCGCCTGTTTCTCCTCTACAAGACCTATATAGCCATACCCCGTGACACTTCTAATTGTTTTTTCTCTAGAAGCCATGGAAAAAGCCAATCCCCCTGTTTTTAACATTTTTTTTTTTATTTTTGAGCTCTAGTTTCAGATTTTTGAACATAGCGCCCTTCGATACCTTGCGCAAAACATGCGCCTGTTTCTCCTCTACAAGACCTATATAGTCATACACTATGACACCCCTCATTATTTTTCTCTAGAAGCCATGGAATAGGCCAACCCCCCTGTTTTTACCATTTTTTTTTTAAATTTTGAGCTCTAGTTTCAGATTTTTGAACATAGCGACCTTCAATACCTTGCGCAAAAGATGCGCCTGTTTCTCTTCTACAAGACCTATATAGTCATACCCCGTGACAGCCCTCATTATTTTTCTCTAGAAGCCATGGAATAGACCAACCCCCCCCCCCCCCTGTTTTTAACATTTTTTTTTTAATTTTGAGCTCTAGTTTCAGATTTTTGAACATAGCGCCCTTCGATATCTTGCGCAAAAGATGCGCCTGTTTCTTCTCTACAAGACCTATATAGTCATACACTATGACACCCCTCATTATTTTTCTCTAGAAGCCATGGAATAGGCCAACCCCCCTGTTTTTAACATTTTTTTTTTTTAATTTTGAGCTCTAGTTTCAGATTTTTGAACATAGCGACCTTCAATACCTTGCGCAAAAGATGTGCCTGTTTCTCCTCTACAAGACCTATATAGTCATACCCCGTGACACCCCTCATTATTTTTCTCTAGAAGCCATGGAATAGGCCACCCCCCCTGTTTTTAACATTTTTTTTTTTTAATTTTGAGCTTTAGTTTCAGATTTTTGAACATAGCGCCCTTTGATACCTTGCGGAAAAGTTGCGCCTGTTTCTCCTCTACAAGACCTATATAGTCATACCCCGTGACACCCCTCATTATTTTTCTCTAGAAGCCATGGAATAGGTCAACCCCCATTTCTGCAAATGTGTATCTTAGTTCAATTAAAAAATGACATCAAAGGTGCTGTATTTTACAGGAAAGGACTACTTTTACATACGTTCTAAATTGAAGTGGGTGCATTAGTGGTCTTACACCTTCAAATAATCCCTTGACAGATGCAGATTTACTGTGGTACTGAATATTAGCCTAAAAAGAGATGCGACTTGTTTTATCAATGGATGGGATAAATACCATCTCACGATAGAGTTGAAATTGCAATATTTGGACGGAATGTCTGCCTTTTTAAATATTTTTCATTTGACGGCCGTTGCTGTCTTATTCATTTTTTCGGTTTTTAGATATATCGCCTTATTGTTCGCTGGCTTATTGTTCGCTAGTTATTGTTCGCTAGCTTCAGCCTGGTGATAAAAGTAGAGAAAACAAATTACGATCATACTGCTTGACGACTGGTTGTGGATTAATTCTAAGTTATATGTTATAAAAAAAAAAGAATCCGAAGATACAAAATAACAAACAAAACAAAAAAAACGAAAAAAATATACTATAAAGCACTATATGCCTAGGTGCAAACGAATCTATATATATATATATATATATATATGTAAGACTTAAATCTATGGTGGGTTCCAGATGTATGGCAAGATTCCAAATCTATGGCAAATATAACGTCACAAACGCCGTACAAATCATAACTCTATGGCTTTTTTTTTGTATTCTTCAAATCTATTGCAGATTTTGATATTGCGTATTTAAGCTATAAAGTCACAACTAAATACCGCCATTACGCAGTCACCGCCGATAACACTGGCGGAACACATATATTCAAATACCATTCCAGATGACGGTTTTGTTAGATCGAAGTAAAAGGCAAACTCTTTAATTCTTTTTATACAAACTGCATTTTGATTTGTTATGAGACTTATTTCATGACTAGTTGGTTAAATCACTAGGTTAAACAGGTACCATGTACAGAGTAAGAAATGCTTATTTTCGCGGGGCACATTATTTCACTCTTAAAGTCTGTATCAGTGTATATAAACTCGTCATAGATACCAGGATCAACCTTTTATATTTACGCCAGACGCGCGTTTCGTCTCAAAAGACTCATCATTGACGCTCGAATCAAAAAATGTTTAAAAGGCCAAATAGAGTACAAAGTTGAAGAGCATTGAGGACCAAAAATTCCTAAAAGTTTTGCCAAATACAGCAAAGGTAATCTATTCCTGAGGTATCACTTCCTCACTTAGAAAATCTTATGGTCGCCATCTAGATTTGGTTTACCGTTATGGAATGTTCATTTCACAAATGGTTATGGATATGCTTCCGTTGTTGTAGTCCTATGGTGCTGCATGCGGAGCAGGAAATGCTTACTCTTCCGGAGCTCTTTGTATCACTCTCATTTTTTTTGATAATTCACATTGATCATGCTTTGGTATTTGGTGTATTCTGTGTTTATGTTTTGTGTTTGTTTGCGCTCCTTGTTTTCCTGTCCTTGTCTGTATTTCTGGTATTGCCTTGTCCCTTGATACTTTGGTATGGTTTTTGCTTTTCTTTCATACCAAGTAAGTATTGTTTGAGATACATCACCGATCTCTTAATTAAATGTCACATTGATTTCATTTTTTTCCCCACTAGGAACCCAAATCACTACATGTGTATGTATAACAATAATGAGCACCTTTTTTGGTTTCTAGCAAAGTTTAGTTTAACTAATACCTCGAATTCCGGTTTTAAATGAACGAGAATAATAGAGAGGCGAATGATACCAAAAGGATATTCAAAATCATAGCTCTCGAAAGACTTCTCATTACAAATTCGGTTTTTGAAATATAATTCAATTGTACACAGAAATTAAAGGTGACATGCAGACTATTGTGTTGGTACTGTCTATAATTTTTAAACATTGTGAACATTTTCACAATATTCTTTCTCCAATGCACTGCCTGTATCAATGTTCACAAATTACTTGTGACACCAGTGTGATATATTTTTGCTGATTCATTAGTGAATTTGCTATATATACAAGAAAGGATACAAAATAAACATGTGATATAATTTTGCTAATTCATTAATGAATTTGCAATGTAGACAAGAACGGATACAAAATACACAAAGATAAACAAGCAGTTTCCCGAGTTCAAATTTAGAATAACAAAATTAAAAATTTCAAATTTCTAAATTTAATTACGGTAATCCGACAAATATAAACAAAACGAAAATATTAAGATGCAAGTTCAGACTAGGTAAAATATCACAAAAAGACATAAAACGCCGTCATGATTATTTTTTCACACAAAAAAAATAAAGTTTTAAACACATTTACAAAATATAGAAATGAGAAGACATATACATGTATTGGTAAACGCAACTTTCCTTGTTTCTCAAGCTGATGAAGATTCAGATTTATCGTAAGTCGCTTACTCCGGCGTTGAAGCATACGAGCATAACGATATCAAAGATCTATATTTTAATTAGATTGCTTGTATCTGAACTTATTTCATGTGTATTATATTGTCATGTGAAGATTTTTTCAAATAAATATTGTTTACATATTAACTAATGCATTTTAAATAGGAATGTGTTTCGCTCAGCAAAACACGAGGCTTGGAAATCATAATATCATTCAAACAAAAAAGGACTGCATTAAATAATATCAAAACATCGCCATTTAAATTGTAACTAAAGTTTAAATAACTATAGTATACATGTATTTCTAAAAAAAAATTAGAGGTTAGAAACAAGAAAGGTAAGTGATGTTAGGTTGACATATGCTCTACATTAGTGGAGAAATTCATAAAAACATTGAATATACAAGATATATACGAGCGACAAAAAATGGAACACAACATCCCGAACTTTCTTTTAAATTAAGATTTCACAAGAGTGTTCTCGATATATTGTGTTGTTATTTTCCGTCAATCCTAATGATGTGTTAAAATTCTATGAGCATTTTTTAAAGCAAACCGGAGTTATTGTGTCACGAAATAGAAGTTCCTTCATAATACAAGTTCCAAGTGGAAGAAATATTCTGTAATATTATTTCCTCTGGAACAAATATTACAACTGTACGAAGTGTTGACATACAAAGGGATGGACGGACGGATATGCAATACCTACTTTCCGAGTAAATCTAAGGTTCCAAGTGTGTCACCAGAGACATATATACACGTCTCTAGTGTCACTGTGGTCCAATACTGTTCATGCATAGTGTAGATTACATTTTGTAGGAGAGGTTATGTGCGAGTTGTAGTGTTTCTTCGTGATCAAAATTAAAATAATTATGTTTGAATGAGGGTCTGGTGGGGTTTACAGAATAGAGAATAATGGGCAAAATGTGCAGAATAACTTGGCCCAAAAAATAAGGAATATAGAAAAATAGGCCAAAAAAATAAAGAATAGAGAATAATGGGGTGCTAAAATATAAAGAATAGAGAATAATGGGGTGCTAAAATATAAAGAATAGAGAATAACGGAGTGCTAAAATATAAAGAATAGAGAATAATGGGCAAAAAATTCAAGAATAGAGAAAATGGCCTAGAAAATTAAAGAATACAGAAATGAATGACCCCCATCCAGACCGTCATAAAAGTTAATTTATATCAATATTTTCTCGTTCACTATATAATATTATATTAGTATAAAAACTTATAAGTTGAGACTACTATTATAACACATAAATATCGTGGTATATTTAAAGCCGTTCTGGTGATCTACCGATATCATTATGCCGTTGGTAATTAGTATAATTTAAGGTCGGTACTTCTCGCGAGATTTTGCGTTGGTTTGTTGTCAACGATACTGCCCAGACAAGTTGATCAAATAAATATTCCACTGCAACACAGACGATAAGAATGGATGAATTTCAAACAGGAGAGGATGTAAGTAACCACTTAATTAAACAACGAAAGCGTTTGCATTTAAAAGAATTCCAAGTAATTGATTATCAATGACTCATTATGCACGTAAACAGATACTATACAAGGAACTTTGGTCAATGGATCAATTTTGTTGTAACAAATCAGAAGTGATATAATATGATAATATTCATCATATGAAGAAGTGGGTTTATTATAAATTTAAGACATTATTGATTATAATCCGACATAAGCCAAATATTCTGTCCCTTCCAATGTAACAGCTGCTCTAGTGCATTAGCAATGCCAACTGTCATACTATAAATCCCTTTTTGGCTTTTGAGATTCTATGTCTGGAGCGATTTTCTGATCTAGCTGCCTCAGAGAAACACTCTGAAAATCCCTCCAGACTCAGAATCCCACAAAGGGATTAATGTCATACATGTACATGCAGTTCTCAACCTGAACTTTGCCAGTACATAGAACAATTTAGAGTCCTTCTTAATATTAATAAGTGAGTTAGGTTGTTTGAGATCAGTCGACTATTACCGTGATTTACTAACATAAGCATTATGAAATTGGAAATGTATGTGAAAGTTGCACAGATGCGAGTCTTCTAATAGTAATACAGTCAATCTTGCATTATTATTATGGGATTCAATATGTTCTTCAATTCTAGCGAAGAAAATCATTACTATGTCTTCAGAATCAACAAACAAACTTGCCCCTAACAACACATTGTCGTTATAAATCTAAACCAAAAGTCTGTTAACTTATCAAAGGTGAATGTCTAGTTAATTATAAATATAGGTCAGTCCCAACTAAGATCCGTCCCAATTATTTTCACAGAACTACTGTATTTGTACAGTTCCTTCAAAACTTGATGATACAATGTATGTTCAGGTTGTAAACTAGATATTTAAGTTTAACAAAAACACTTAACTCCAAGTATGATCATGCAGGGTTCTCATTAAGGCGAGTACATGCGTCCTGGACACATCATTTTCTGTCTAAACTTGCCATATCAGGAACCTGTACCTCTCTGGAGGTATCCTAAGTCAAAAAATGTAAGTGTAGTTACATACCGGTGAGCTGAGTTCTTTCATCATCAAGATTATATGTTCCCTCTTGAAAATATCATTTATGCATAATTATTTTGAATATCATATGAAGTACACTGCATTTTGGTCTTGTGGTATTTTACTAAATCAGTAATGGTTTGCAATGCAGGGAATAGACAGACAGATAAACCAGACTTGGCAGTATGGACTTTTTCAAAAAAAAATTATAAAACATACATGTAACATACTGATGATACTGTACACATTTCTTCTGTACTTTGATGATTTCACAGTATTATCACCTTAATTAACATGATTAAGCAGTAATTTCAGTCAGGGGTACTACTTGTACAAGTAATCTTTATTTACTTGAAGAAGTAAAAAAATATATACTTATATAAGTTAATTATAATGTTTGAATAATCTCCCCTTAATTATCTCAAAAATTCACTTGTATAAGTAAATTTTTTTTACAATCCCACAAAAATTCTCAAGTTTTGAGATGTAAAAACATGCCTTTAATGATTTTCCCCAGGTTAGCTCATAATTTTTTATTAGAGTTCAATGTTTCATCTCATTAATTCAACAAAGAAACTGATTGCGCAAAGATCTTAAGTATTTGCACAAGGCCTTCAAAAATTGCTCCTTGGGGGCTTGTAAATGAGCAGTGTTCTGAAGATAACAGACAAATGAGATTTTCATTGTCCATGAAATTACACTTAAATGATTAGTTTAGACATCTGCAAAGGACAGACAATTTAAAATTCTATTAGAGCAAAGAAGTCCTAAGAATTCAAGAAAAGAAGATAGGATGACTTTTTCATTTATATAAGTAAAAAAATCTGAATGTCTAAGGGACATAACTAAGCCAATTTTTTTTTACCTATACAAGTAGATAAAATACACTTGTTAAGTATCATACAAATTTACTTATATAAGTATATTAATATTACTTCTTCAAGTAAATAAAAAATACTTGTACAAGTACATGTAGTACCCCTGACTGAATTTAGTCCTAACTACAGAGCAAAGAAATACATCATTAATGTATAAAGCATGGTAACAAATCATTAAATGTCATAAATGTCAATTTAACTATTTTCATTTAACCACTGTTTATCAAACTAACTTTAGCAAAAGGAAGGCACCACTAGTACAGCTAATGATGGGTGGACCTTGGTTGATATTGTCTAGTTAGTACTGTAGGTAAAGTGAAGCCCTGCAACATAAGCTACACTCACTCTTGTACAAACTTTCATTTCTTTTATCATGTGTTATGATATTTATTGATTTTATTTTTCAGACCGCCTTTGTTGTTGATGAAGTGACAACCATAATTAAGGAGGTATGTTTCTTTAGTAAACATTGATATTATAAAGAAAACAACTTTTCACAAAATTGCTAATGATCTGCAGATAAAATAATAAATTCTTCTTAATACCTAAATGTATCCCATCTTATTTGAAATCATTTGGATTATGTGTTATAATTTTGAGTGTTTTTAACTTTGGTTCTGAAGAATCATAATTTTTTACATGTTTTAAGTTTCAATATATGACATACATGTATCATTGCAAAAGTTGTTATTCTTTTATTATAAATGCTGTACACCCTTCACATATTTCTTTTTAGGTGTTCTTCTGAAATTTCTTGAATCTTACTAAGACTTCATATGTTCTATAGTATAATTTTGCAACACAGTTACCTTAAACATTTGTTTAAATGGTTTCTGTTGGACATTTTCCTATTAAATATATGTTTATGCTCTGAATGGTACAAAGTAGAATACATGTTCAAATGTATGTACTGTAAACCAACATTTTTCACAGATACTTTATTCTGTGTAAAGTCCTTTCCAGTCTACTTCGAGGCGATTTATTTCCCTGATTTTCTAATATCTTCACCTATTTACATAACGGAAGACATACATTTTAAGTATTCACAACGATTTATATTCGTGTTATTTTCCAAGTCACTAAAATTAGTTGATATACAGAAATCACAAAAATGCACAAGTTATATGTGCTGTGGCTCAACTTAGTTAGTGATCATGATCATGAGCATCCTTTTCTTAAAGTTAAACAGCAACTCTGGTGGCCAGTTGTTTCATAAGCATTCATACATTCTCATTTTTGTATTTATTGAATATCATACACCATAAAAATTCGCTAAAAAAGAAATTTTTATTTTAGTCAATAGAAGGTGCCATTGGAGGAAACTCATATCAACATAATAAAGTGAACCAATGGACATCAAATGTTGTAGAACAGTGCTTGAATCAACTGACCAAATTGGGCAAACCATTTAAATATATTGGTAAGTGTATGACAGAATATTTGTCATGACAGTAATGAATAAAACTTTTCTACATCTTAGTGTGATGATATCTTTTTAATGGTTGTGTCTATGTGTCATTAGCTTCAAATAAATTGTACAAGAAAAATGCTGGACTTCCCAAAATAATTAAAGATCAAGTTGACAGAAATTATTAACGGTAAACCCTTTGCAAAAATATGTGTACTTCACTTTTCTATAATGTTATTCATTTGATAAAAAAATAAACAGAAAAATAGTAAAACCAAGTTTGCTTTGTTTCATATGTAATTCTAGATTAACTAGAATCAGTTAGGTCAGTTTGATTAGGATCAGTCCACTACTAGTGGTAGGTTAATGATATTTAGTATGTAGGTGTATTAGCATTGGCACATCTCCTTTCCATGGAGATTATTTGGCTCCCCCCTCAGACATGGTCTATTGACTTTAAATATTTTGCATAGTATACATGCATGTAAATGTTTGTGATTAGATCAGTTTAAGATAAACCACTTATGTTAACATGGTTAAGTCAATGATATTTGGTATGCAGTTGTATAAGCATTTGCAAGTCTCATTTCCATGGAGATTGTATGCATGGCCCTGCCCTATCATTATGGTTCATTGAGATTTAAAATGTTGCATAGTTTACAAATTAAAGTTTGTGTTGAGATTAGTTAAAAGAGAACCACTGAAGATAATTCAATGGTATTTGGTATGAAGTTTTATAAGCATTAGCATTTCTCATTTCCATGGAGATTTTTTGGCCCTGCACCCTCAGGCATGGTTCATTGACCTGAATGTTTTGCATGCATATAGTTTACATGTTTATGTTGCCATTTTCATTTCAAGATTTTGCATTTTGCTGTCAAAATTACCAAAAGCGAGACATATATCTGTGACAACAGTTTATTATGTATTGTGGTATTTCCTTACTTCTATATAGAGGTATATTTTTTTTATTTAAAAGTTAAGGTAAGTCAATTAAAAGTTTTGAGTACAAAGTCTTCACATTTCTGTTAAGATTAAGAATTCTTTAATCACTGAATAATTATCAGTAGCTCATTGTTAGAGTCATATGATATGTTGATTTCATTCAGTAACATGTGTCATCATGCAAAAGACAGGAAGTGGACTCCATGTGGCTTCTTCCTGTTTGTGGGACAGTCAGGCGGATGGTCAGTTCAAACAATAAATGTGTATACCTGAACATTTGTTCAGATTTAGTTTGTTTTTGGGATAATATGGAATATAAACCTTGGATATTTTAACATATAGAATTAAATGCATTTGTATACATATTAACATACATTGTACCTGTTATTAGAGCCTCTAGTGTTTGTAAATATATATTTTTATAATCCAGTGTCAACGTTGTTACACAGTTAGATCAAATAAAAACACTTTAGAAAATTAGATTTGGTTGGTTACTTGTATTATTTTCAGTCTTTTGAAAAATCAACTTTGATACGATTCATTTTACCAGAACAAACTTTGATTGCATTAAACTAATTTTTTTTTAAAGTTTGCCAGTTCATGCACAAACACAATGGTACAATGTATGAATTGTTGTACAAATGCATTGATTTGTTTTTCTCCCTATTCTTTATACATGTAGCTTATTATTTTGCTTACAGTAACCTGTGTAATTATGCAGAAGAATGGTGCTGGTTTACATACTGCAAGTTCCTGCTTCTGGGATAACTCTACAGATGGTTAGTTTTCATAAAAGAAGCAGATTCAAGATGGCAAAACATTTGGCTAAATGAATTTTGATACATTGTATAAAATTTCCTATTACACATAAACATGATAAAAATAATGTCTTTTATGAATTTATTTTTTGCATCGAGTGAGAAATGAACTAGCTGTAAAAATATCACATATTTCTTTGCAAGTATAAAAAGAGCATTATGAGTAATGAAAATGATGGTGAAAGAAATTATGATTACAGTAAAGAAAAATTAGGTCCAAACATGTATTTTAAAGCATAGTTTGGCTATAAATATAATAATCATCTGTCAAAAAGGTTAAAATTATGATCTCAGTAAGCGCCATCATGAATATGCATTAGCATGTGAATTAATTTTAGTGGTATGGTTTTAAAGTTATTTATTTTTATATCATTGATTATCATTTAATATCCCGTCAAGTCTGAGAATGTTGTTTTTATTTAATGTATATAAGTTGTTACTCTGCATTTTAGAAAAAAATTGTAAAACAATTAAGTAAATTCTACCAATGCATAGTTAAGTGGGATAGGATATTTCTCCAGTCAGCATAGATGCGTTTATAAATATGATATTTCTCTACTCAGGATAGGTACATTTACAAAGGAATGGGACAATAAAGCTATTTGGCCCAAATATTAGTGCAAATTAAAAAGTTAAATGTACCATACAGGTTCTTAAATTTGTCCTTACTACACTTAAGTATGAGGCATTTAAAAATAAAAACAAATTTCATATTTAACAAGTTACAGTGGCCACCAGCCATGACAAAATTTATATATTTTGTAAAAATTCCTTGATTTTCCTTGTTTTACTATATTTTGGATTGGAAAAGTACATGCGCACACAAAAACAACTTTATGTTTTGAGAGATTATGCAGATAGCTATATAAATAAAGCTTCTCTTGAATTATTTTGTTGTTTCTTGGCTGTGCACATGTACAATGATTCCAGAAAGAAAATATGTAAATCAAACTGTTTAAATTCAGCAGGTTTCTTTGTTTTTATGACAACGGCACATAATGCCACATATTATTGACAAAATTGTAACGTCATAAGTTAACATTAAAAATCTTGTGTAATTCATTTATATTTCTTGATCATTTCAAAACATTATGTGTTGGTCATATTGTATCCATGTATAAAATCATGAAAATTTATAGCTTTATTCATAATGATTAAGAATACATTTATTAAATTTTAAAATTAATAAAGGATGGACTTCAATTAAAACTAATTTGGTAGAATATATCTAATTTCAGACAAACTTTTATAACATAGTTACATTTGTTTTTTTAGGAAGCTGTACAGTAAGATGGGAAAACAAGACAATGTACTGTATAGTATCAGTATTTGGACTGACGATCTAATCACCTTGTGACATTGAACAATTTGACTTTAAACATCTATGTACATAATGTAAACAAGGATTTTATTTATGGAGGAGCATTTATAATATTATAATGGGATGCTGGTGTACCTGACAAGCAGATCATTCCAATGTGATGTCAGACATTTTTTTTCCTAAAATATTCTTTTCATAAATTTTGAGGCAACGTTTTGATTTTCATACTCAAGTGTAATATTATTAAGCTAGAGCCCAAAAGTTATCTGCTTGAGATTTTTTTCCTTTCTGCAATATTTATGAGCTCTTCCAACAAAATATGAATATTTGTACATGTTAATTTATCAAAGAAAATTATTATTTGTTTATTTGTTTTGTTCTGTGATATTTTTACATACTTTGTACTTATTTGATCATTTAGTACTAACAAATTATTTATTGACTTTGAACAAACAAGTGTGGTAAAGTAATATAAATGGTAGATTTTTACACCAATTAACATTGTTTGCATGGTTGTTTGATTCATAGATAATTTATGCAGACCTTTCTGTCATTGTCAAAAAGAAAGCCATCAATACTAGCCTGTCAACTTGCTGTATTTATCATATTATAGAAAATTATTAAATTGTGTTCACAAATTAAATTCTTGTTTTATAACATGGTTGTTCAGAAAGAACATTTGAATGCAGATTTTGATATACTTAACACTAGCAATATAGCCATTTCAGAATCAAAAGAATTGTGGAAAATTTAATTGTTTGCACCAAATAATGGAAAAAAAAAGAGTTTTACCCTTGGAATTATGTGTCAACTGTTGTCTGCAGAGAATATAAGTAGAATTGGTAAAGCTCATATTTTGGTATTGGCAACCTTAAAACCCATAGTGTCAAGTGAGCTTTATCACTTGGTGTTTGTCCATCGTCGTCCCCTCTGAAACTACCGGGCCAAATGAAACTAAACTTGGCTACACTAATCATTGGGATATCTAGTGTCAAAAATGAATGTTGATCACACTTTCTAACCAACATGGCCAACAATAGAACAAATAGGTAAAGTACAAGTAGTGTCTATTATCTTGAAAACCGCTTTAAATAGAGAAAATCTGACAGGGGCAAAAATGTTTACAATGTTGAGTTCTACCTACTGTTTATCTTCATCAAAACAGTCAGACGATTTCTTATAGGAGTAATTGTCCTTAAAACAATGAATTTTTCCAATTTCTGTATTTTTTGCCATTATTTTGAAAACTATAATATATAGAGGGAAACAAATGGCAAAAAAGATCAGCAGTAAAAGATCTTCAAAGGAGTCTGCTTGCTTGGAATTGTTTGTCTATTCCTTATAGGTGTTATAGTGCTTAATGATGATTATTATCAATTTTTTGTGCTTTGGCTTTTTATGTTAAAAACTATTTATGGTGTACAGAATGATTGTTAGGTGTATATGTCTGTCTAGCAGGTTTCATCTGAACTTTACCTCATTAAATTGATGATCGGTAATTTTAAAGTTTAAGTGGCATTTGTAGTAAAACCTTTATCTGAAAGACTTTCAACATCAATTCAATCATGATCAGTAAAGCTAGCAAGATATTTCAGTGTGCACTCTTGTTACTAACTATACCCTCTGCTCCAAAGGAGAGGGGTAAAAATAAAAGCTTTCTTAAATTTGTTATCAGGCTTCATGTCAGCCTGCTATACCAAGTGATGGGGTTCCAGATTACTGAATATTTATATATTCTTAATATTTTGGCAATTTAAGAAATGTCGTCACAATTTTCTACGAAACTACAAGTAATGGCTTTCTGAAATTTGTTATCAGGCTTCATGTCGGCATGCTTTACTGTGTGACGCCTTTTAGATTCATTGCTAATCAAAGTCCTGTTCACTGAATGCATATAAATTCTTAACATTTCCTTACATTTTTCTAGGGAACTACAAATAACAGCTTCCAGAAATTTGCTATAAGGCTTCATGTGAACATGTTTTGCAGTGTAATGCATTTTCAGATTCAATTTTCTTCAACTACCTGTTTACCAAATACTTGAAGCAGGAGTATCATTAGTGAGCAATAGCTCATACTTCTACTTGTTTTTATTGTCTTGAATAAATTTCAAAGATAAACTTGCTAAATTGGTAAAAAAATGCAATCCCATGTCTTTTTGAAGTAATTTGCAGCCATTTCAACTGCCTAGCATTGTATGAGTTGTGCATGTATGGATAAGTTTCCAGTGCTTCTGTATATAAAAAGAAATTAAGATATTATCTCGATCACTCTGATATTTAAGTGTCCTGATGAGAGTTTACTGACACTTATTACTCATTGGATTAAGCTGACAAAATCCAGAGCTAGATTCATCATGAATAGGTGGTTGCATTGTAGTGTGCTTGCGCCAAATGTAAGAGTTCATTGGAAGATCCTAGAAGTGTCAAACAAAAGATAAACATTGTATTTGTTGTTTTGCTGCTGAGCATGTAACTTCTGGAGTAAGAGCAAAGACTGGTCAGCTCCAATTTTTACTAATGTTTACATGTTGGTAATAATGTCTTCCTGCAGACTGTTACCCTGTGAATTAGCATGTTCAATATCTGGCTCAGCTTGTTGATCAAGGTCATAGTAGGATATGACTATGAATGAGAACTTTTACTCTGCGGTTTTTTTGCTTTACTCTTCAATTCAAATTTGGATAATATCTCATCGACACAGTCTTATATAGGTGGGTGGTGTTTAATATTCCATTATATTAAAATAATCAAGCAGATTGATTTCATGACCTTTTTATGGCAGCTCATTTCTTAGTTACAACATGTCAATTGTTGATTTTGAAAGTAAGGACATTATTTGATAGATTGATAATACCTTTAGATTTTCAAATTCAGGGCTTAAAAAAGAAACCTTATCATACTTTCTCCTTTTTAGTTACAGACAGCTACAGAATTAAAACCTAAAATGGCAACAATATCTGGTTATAAACCAAAACTACAAAATTACAAATAAAGATCAATAATTTATTCATAAGCAACAGGGTTCCCAGAATATGAGTTTGATTCCTGTTCTAAACTAGCTTGAGAGTCTGTGTCATTAGATTTCTCCAAACATGATTTGCTATCTTGTTGAATTGACAAATTTCCAGGGTTCTGTGACAGTACATCCTTATTCTGAATATAGCGTGGATCGATAATGTTCAGTTTTGGTTTGGGTGGCTGTGACACAGGTGTAAAGGATGTTGCCTGTAGATTAGCAAGTTCATTTGAATAACCAACTGAAGATGTTAAATTCACCTGATCAGAGCTATAATTGTTCAAATTGTCAAGATGCTGACTAAAAATGTCAGTAACTTGCTGATTTCCAGAATTTGAAAACTGCTGTGTATAATATTTGGTTACATTGCTTACATCATCTCCTACATAAGCAGGTGATTGTTCAGTAGGAACAGGAGTTTGATAATTAACATTTGACGGAGTTTGAAAAGGAAATTCAGGATTCTGATAATTCGGCCGACTATAGTTCTGTTGATTATTTTGTAATGTCGCTATATTTGGTGGCGGCACTGAAACATCAAATAATGGAACATTGTAATTCATAACGTCATTCACTGAGTCATGGGATCCAACAGCTTTTACATCAGAAGGAAGAGGGATGCTTGACAGGTTATCTATACCCAAAGATGTATCAGGGTTGTTTCCATCTTTTCGCTTATTTGATGTAGATGGATCCCTCCTTAGTATAACAAATTTAGAAGTTTCAGTTGTTTGGCCAGAATGTACAGATTGTTTTTTGTTTTGAAAACCAGATTTCTTCTTATCATCTGCATATAGAGACATAGGAGGGGCAAAGTTTTGGTTTCTTTCTTTTCTCCTGTCTTCAAAGTATTTTTCCTCACTTGTTGGTGGAAATAATTCTACAAAAAGAGAAATAAATCGAAGGCTTAGTGTAACATGTAAATGAAAACACTACATTGTTTATTGTTATATCAGTAAAGTAACAAATTATTAATCTCAAATGAAGAAAAGTTGACAGACTATCTATAATAGTTTCAGAGCGCTAAAGGAAATCATTTTAAAATTAAAGAATTTCACATGGATTCATTTACTGTCAATTCAAAAATTATTGCATGCATTTATTATTGCAATTTTGGGAGAATGAACAAATTTGCGAGATTAAATAATGCAATTTTATGAAAAGCCGAAAACATATATATGTATATCATATATCAGAATGTGAGTTTTTATTATTGGGATACTATCCCAGTCACATTATTGGCATTAATAAAACCCTCGAAATAATTTCTGAAATTTTAATATTTTTGTGTGTGAAGGAAAAACTGTATTTTTCGCTGATCCATTTGTACTTAATTTGGCAGACTCCGTATACAAATCTATTTATATTAGTGTTTCGTCGAACATTTAAAGTTATGGTTAATCTACACTAACAAAAATCTGGAATTTGGTATCTATACCAATTTTCATGGATTTCGTGGGTACAGTTGAACCACGAATTTAAATGTTGAAAGAGTTACAAATTTTCTATAGGCATCTTTTGCAAAACCACGAAATCAAATATCCATAAAAATTCAAGTTTTTCTCATTCCACGAAAATTAGTATCCACGAAAATAAATAGATCCACAGTACATGAAATATACATCACATCCATTCTTTCTAAAGAGTATGTTATAATATACCTTATTTTACCAGCACAGAAAACCTTTTTGACTGAAATAAATTCTGTTTACAGCAGTAGTAGTATTTAATTGACTAAATTTTAAAATATGCATGTTGATATGGGTGGAACTCAATATAACACCTTTTTACATCAAGCTGCTATATTGTAATATAGAATTCTAACCCTTCAAACCCTTAAAAATAGACAATTTTCATATTACCGACTTTTGACTCCATATGATATAAATTTTCGACAGGTTACCTACACTATGGGTAGGACATCCTGGTACTTGGTCAAGGAAGAGCAACCAAAAGAACCAAAACCAAACATATAATCGTTGTTATTTGGTGGGAAATTTAACTGTTTTCCGAAGATTTTGTCATGTATAGGAAACATAAAACAATTAAGTTTCCCCCCCCCCCCCCCCCAAATTGTAAGCTTGATTTTACTTCTTTAAAAAGTTGCTCTTACATGACTGCTTACCAGGATGTTCTAATACAGAAAAGGTAACCTGTCGAAAAAATATAAACTCTGGAGTCAAAAGTCAGTTATATGAAAATGGTCTATTATAAACTGTTTACTATAAACTTTTCCTCTAATAAACCTTACTTTCTTTGCCTTTATCCCACTCTCTCGTAGATTGGTTATGCCTCAAGCTTTCATCTCTGGTCAGTAGTTCTGGTTTGATGGGTCCTACAGGGACCATTTCTTCCAACTTTGGAGCAGGGACCATTTCTTCTAACTTTGGACCAATATCAGCATCTTCATCATCCTCTATAAAACCAATTCATAGAATAAATTTATCTGAATATCCAAAACTCTGGAAAAGATATTGGAAGAATTAAGATGAAAATTTCAAAAGCCTAGACTTAAAGTACTAGTTTCAGCCTAAATGTGAATTGTTACATTAAGAAAACCTTGAAGTTACAAATAAGTCACCACAGTAAACCAACTCATGAAACCTATTAAATGCTACCCCATGAGATGATGATAAACTCTATGTAATATGAAGGTCAGAAGTCAAAGGACATGGTCATCAAGCAGTGTTACAGACAAAATTTTAAGGCACTATCAAAATTTCTAATTGCAACCCAAAGTAACCAACCTTTGTACAAGTCATCAACATAAACTTAATTACCATATACATGTATTTAAAGAAACTATTTATGAGGTAAACAAATAACAGATGTATATGATACATATAAAGGAAAAACAGGTTGTATATCAATATTCACTGACATAATTTAGTAATTTCACTGTTCTAGATGGACTATTTCCATATACTGTTAGTAAATCAATCTGTTACTCCTCATTCAAGACATAATGGATATCATTCAAATATCAGTCTAAAATTCATTATACCATTAAACTTTAATTTAATTTTTTTTTTAATTTCATCATAATGCTTTCCCATATTAAAATATTTTCCTGAATACCTGATTTTGTGGTGAAAACTAATTTTGCATACAAACCTAGGGGAAATTGTATTTTGTTGAACACTTTCATAAATGGTTTACCAGTGTCCATGATATCCTCAGGAATTATCCAATGATTAATAATATACCGACAGCATTCATGTAAATGATATTTATAACTAATCTGATGTATGCAGAAGTTAAAACCATGAAATTGCTTTTACATTGATCGTATTTGGTGTTTTCTATTTAACATACATGGTACATTTGGTTTGTTAGCAATAGTATCTGTTTAAGTGAATGAGTGACAAATAATAATTGAAGATCTATTTCCTGGAGTTTGACATCACTGAATGGGACTTACAAAATATATTGGCAATTTCAAACATAAGAGGTGACACTAGTGGAGCAGGATCTGCTTACCTATCACTTGAGATCTCCCCTGTTTATGGTAAGGTTTGTGTTGCTCAATCTTTAGTTTTCTGTGTAGTGCTTTGTAGACTGTTGTTTGTCTTTTCAAATGGGTTTTTTTTTTGGCCATGGTGTTGTTTGTTTTTCTTCAACTAATTACGGTCTTTGATTGTCCCCTTGGTATCTTCATCCTCCTTTTTTAAAGCACATTAAGTTAAATATTTTGTTAATGCTAAAAATATTGTAAAAGATAAAATTGAATAATACTGTATGTTTACATACTTAGAAGAACATCTGGCACTAAAGATCCTCCTTCTCTTATTAACTTTCTCTGTTTAACTTTAGCCAATCTAGCATCTAGCATAGCTTTCCTTTTTTCTTTTAATTTTTCCTTTTTTGATCTTTCATCTTGTGTCTACAAGAAATTTGAAAAAAACAATAACAAATTTATACCATAGAGACCAGAAAAGGCATGCTATGAAAATCATAAAATTAAATTTATTTGTACATTTCTTTGGCTCACTATCACTTGTATTTTCTTACTGAAAATGCGGTAAATGTTGCAACCTAAAAACAAATATATTACCTTATATCATGTTATTATTGCATCTGATTGTGTTTGCAGTTAGGGAATTAAACATGCCAATTGAATTTCTGCTGTATTAATTCTTTACTGTTTCAAAGCTTTGTATAGAGCATTTCAATGGACAGTGAAACAGTTGTGTAAGATAAATTTTGCTTTATGAAAAAAATCAGGATGATATATTTTCTAAGTATAATGACCCCTTATTCTACCAAAAGTTAGTAAACCTGAATGAAACTGAAACTTGAACTGTAAGTCATCACAAGACCCTTATGTTCTTAAAGATCAGCTCAAGATCTGAGGCATTACAATAAAAGTGTGGACAAGTTTAATGTTTATGAAACTTTGTATGTCCAAAGGCTTTAATTCTGCAAAGTTGTTTAATCCAAAAGCAGTGTAAAATTGATCTGAAAGTAATAATTTGACACTAGTGTACCAAAACTGAAATCAATATAGGCAGTCATAACAAAAAACTAGAGGCTCTCAAGAGCCTGTGTCGCTCACCTGATTCTACTTTGGTTTTGGAAATCATGTAAAAATAGATTAAAATCATAACAGATACCCTAATAATGAGTGAGGCCAAATTTGGTTTAATATTGGTCCTGTAATTTAATAAAAAATCCTGGTGGCCATCTTGAACAGTAAATCTGCAACAAAGTAGCAACACTTAATCAGCACCTCATAAGAAACATTTATGCCATGTTTTGGTTTCATTCCATTCAGTGCACCTCTAGAAGAAGCATTTGTATGTATTTCCCATAGGTTCTTATGTTAAAGGAAGTCCCCCCCATTGGCGGCCATCATGGATGAAGGATCAGCTTCAAAGTAACAAAACTTAATCAGCACCTCATAAGGAACATTCATGCCATGTTTGGTTTCAATCCATTCAGTATGTGGTTCTCTAAAAGAAGACATTTGTATGTATTGTCCATAGGATCCTTTGTTAAACATTGTCCCCATCTGGCAGCCATCATGGATGAAGGATCAGCTTCAAAGTAACAACACTTGGTCAGCACCTCGAAAGGAACATGCATGCCATGTTTGGTTTCATTCCATTCAATGGTTCTCTAAAAGAAAACATTTGTACGTATTTCTCATAGGGTCCTATGTTAAACTAAGTCCTCTGCTGGCGGCCATCTTAGATTATGGATCAGCTTCATAGTAACAACACTTGGTCAGCACCTCATAAGGAACATTCATGCCATGTTTGCTTTTATTCCATTCAGTGGTTCTCTAAAAGAAAACATTTGTATGTATTTCCCATAGGGTCCCATGTTAAACTAAGTCCCCCGCTGGCGGCAATCTTGGATTACGGATCGGCTTCAAAGTAACAACACTCGGTCGGCACCTCATAAGGAACATTCATACCATGTTTGGTTTCATTCCATTCAGTGGTTCTCTAAAAGAAGATATTTGTATGTATTTCCCATAGGGTCCTATGTTAAACTAAGTCCCCCGCTGGCAGCCATCTTGGATTATGGATCGGCTTCAAAGTAACAACACTCGGTCAGCGACTCATAAGAAACATTCATGCCATGTTTGGTTTCATTCCTTTCAGTGGTTCTCTAAAAGAAGACATTTGTATGCATTTCCCGTAGGGTCCTATGTTAAACTAAGTCCCCCGCTGGCGGCCATCTTGGATGATGGATCCGCTACAAAGTAACAACACTCGGTCAGCACCTCATAAAAAACATTCATGCCATGTTTGGTTTCATTCCATTCAGTGGTTCTCTAAAAGAAGACGTTTGTATGTATTTCCTATAGGGTCCCATGTTAAACTAAGTCCCCTGCTGGCAGCCATCTTGGATTATGGATCGGCTTCAAAGTAACAACACTCGGTCAGCACCTCATAAGGAACATTCATGCCATGTTTGGTTTCATTCCATTCAGTGGTTCTCTAAAAGAAGACATTTGTATGTATTTCTCATAGGGTCCCATGTTAAACTAAGTCCCCTGCAGGCGGCCATCTTGGATTATGGATCGGCTTTAAAGTAACAACACTCGGTCAGCACCTCATAAGAAACATTCATGCCATGTTTGGTTTCATTCCATTCAGTGGTTCTCTAAAAGAAGACATTTGTATGTATTTCCCATAGGGTCCAATGTTAAACTAAGTCCCCTGCTGGCGGCCATCTTGGATTATGGATCAGCTTCATAGTAACAACACTTGGTCAGCACCTCATAAGGAACATTCATGCCATGTTTGCTTTTATTCCATTCAGTGGTTCTCTAAAAGAAGACATTTGTATGTATTTCCCATAGGGTCACATGTTAAACTAAGTCCCCCGCTGGCGGCAATCTTGGATTATGGATCGGCTTCAAAGTAACAACACTCGGTCAGCACCTCATAAGGAACATTCATACCATGTTTGGTTTCATTCCATTCAGTGGTTCTCTAAAAGAAGACATTTGTTTGTATTTCCCATAGGGTCCTATGTTAAACTAAGTTCCCCGCTGGCGGCCATCTTGGATTATGGATCGGCTTCAAAGTAACAACACTATGTCAGCACCTCATAAGAAACATTCATGCCATGTTTGGTTTCATTCCATTCAGTGGTTCTCTAAAAGAAGACATTTGTATGCATTTCCCATAGGGTCCTATGTTAAACTAAGTCCCCCGCTGGCGGCCATCTTGGATGATGGATCCGCTACAAAGTAACAACACTTGGTCAGCACCTCATAAGAAACATTCATGCCATGTTTGGTTTCATTCCATTCAGTGGTTCTCTAAAAGAAGACATTTGTATGCATTTCCCATAGGGTCCTATGTTAAACTAAGTCCCCCGCTGGCGGCCATCTTGGATGATGGATCCGCTACAAAGTAACAACACTTGGTCAGCACCTCATAAGGAACATTCATGCCATGTTTGGTTTCATTCCATTCAGTGGTTCTCTAGAAGAAGTTCAAAATGTAAAAAGTTAACGCCGACGACGGACGACGGACGCCAAGTGATGAGAAAAGCTCACTTGGCCCTTTGGGCCAGGTGAGCTAAAAACTGATCAACTGTTTTATTTCCAATGGACAGAATGACTGAAAAGGGGTGCAGAAATAAAAATTTGTAAGGGTTCCATGGAACCCAGTGTCTCACCTACTTTTTCTGTTAATTGCAGGCTCAACAAAAATGAGGAAGTAAATCAATCAAAATATTCCACTTGATACTATCTTTTGATTGTAAGAAGCTTCTGTCCAAGTTTGGTAAAAATCAAGGATAGTTTATGAATCTAATAAATGTTTAAAAACTTTAACTGCAGACTGAATGTAATGTTAACTGGAAGAAAACAAAATTTCATTCTAGATACTAGCATTTGATCATAAACAAGCTTCTGTCCAAGTTTGGTACAAATCCAAAATAGTATAAGAAAGTTATTAAAATTTTAAAAACTTTAACCACAGAGTGAATGTGTTGTTTCCTGGCAGAAAATCTAAGTCCATTTAAAAGTAAAATACGGAAAAAATGGATTTATTTTTTTTACAAAATTTCCTTCTAGATACTAGCTTTTGATCATAAACAAGCTTCTGTCCAAGTTTGGTACAAATCCAAAATAGTATAAGAAAGTTATTAAAATTTTAAAAACTTTAACCACAGAGTGAATGTGTTGTTTCCTGGCAGAAAATCTAAGTCCATTTAAAAGTAAAATAAGGAAAATATGGATTTATTTTTTTACAAAATTTACTTCTGGATACTATCTTATGATCATAAACAAGCTTCTGTCCAAGTTTGGTACAAACCCAGGATAGTTTAAGAAAGTTATTAAAATTTTTAAAACTTTAACCACAGAGTGAATGTAATATTTCCAGGCAGAAAAACTAAGTCCATTTATAAGTAAAATACAGAAAAAATTTACTTCTGGATGCTATCTTGTGATCATGTGGTATAGTGTTTTACATTAATATTTATTTTCTTTCAGAATAATTAATATTAATAAGTAGTTTTATAAGTGTATTTTAAGAGTTCATCAATTCTTCTATTCTCTTATGCAATCTTATTTTCTTGGTATGTTATATCTTCTTAGTACTGTAGTTCTACTCTATTTTTCTGGTTCATTAGTCAGTCAGTCATGTGTCATATTATCTTGTCTTCTATTGGTCATAGTCACTGAGTTAAAAGTTTTACCACACTTTTTGAATGCCTTGAGAGAAAGCTATACAATACAGCAGCCATATTTAAATAAGTTATATACATTATATTCTGGATACTAATTCCACATTAATCAGGTCAGTTACTAATATTTCTAAGTCTTTAATATTTACACAGTTTTCCTTTAGTTTGAATCTGAGAGAAAATGTATTTTTGAATAAGTCAGAATGATTGTGCATGAATGATAGATATTTTATTTTAAAGAAGTATTTTCATGAACTCAGAGAATTAATATATCATAGATATATTAATGATACATGTATTGGTACAGTTATATTATTATTATAAAAGGTCTCAAGCAATGTCTATTGAACATTATACTTATTGTGTTTAAATGTTATGCAGATATAATTTAGTTCATTAGACTTATGTAGGTTATATTTGTATTTTTAACAGGACCAGAGTATCTCGATGTTATGATTTGGTGATGTTTCCAAATAGGAGATAGACCTTTGTACCATATACATGGTAAGATCAGTGTTTTCAATGTATTTTTAGTTTACTGTATTGTCCGTGTTTGTCTAGTTAATTTAAGTTCAGTAAATGTATTGTTTGTGTCTTGTGAATAGTAGTTACCTGTATGTCAATAATTACATGTAAACATTATAGTATCAAATAGTTCATTCATAAATCAATGAATGATTAACGTAAGATTATTGAACATAATGTAGCACTTAATCCTGACTTGGTTTA